GCATAGCACATCTTACCTACCGCAAAGGAGTGAAAACGGCTCCCACCCTCCTAGATGCTAAAAATTCATTACGGAGTGAGTCTTTTTTTTTTTTTTTTAAAGATTTTATTTATTTATTTGACAGAGAGAGACACAGCGAGAGAGGGAACATAAGCAGGGGGAGTGGGGGAGGGAGATGCAGGCTTCCCGCAGAGCAGGGAGCCCGATGTGGGACTCGATCCCAGGATCCTGGGATCATGACCTGAGCCGAAGGCAGACGCTTAACGACTGAGCCACCCAGGCGCCCATTACGGAATGAGTCTTAACATGTGCTTTATTAACATGGGTTTGCATAACTCTTGCCACTTACTGGATGTGTGCCTTTGAGAAGTTGCTCAAGCCTCAGATCTCTCATCCGCAAAATGGATTCCCATTCACTTTTAAAGTTCTTGTGAGAATAAAGTGAGATAATGTGATGAAGGGCTTAACATCACATTTAAGACACACTAATAGTTGTTTCATGAATGTGGAATGAATAAAATGCCCAATTAGTGAATGAATATATCATTATTATTATCACAGTTTTCTATGTTGTGTGCACTTGGCCACATTCAATTCTGTCCGCTTCCAATAACCTGTGTTTCTGGAGATTCTTTCCATTCAGAGAAGAATCTTTTTACAGGCTTCATTTCTTTCCCCAACTAGAACTCTCTCAGGCGGCTGGTACATAAAATGCCAGTCAGGGAAGTATTTGATCCCCAACAGGCCTTGCCTGCCATCCTGCTTTCCATGACGACATGAACCCAGTCTTCTCTGAATTTTTGCTAACCCCACACCTCATTCTAATGTTCCGAAAACCGCTCTCAGTGCTGTCACAGTCCTGAAGCCAAGGGAACGCACACATCAGATGACTTTCCTTCTATCTTACAGATGAGCCAATGGAGGGAATGTTTTAGGCAGATGGGTCTGTTATCGGAGAAAGGGGTTTCAAAAGGTTGCTGAGGCCCATCTCCCTCTGGCTTTTCCTTCTGCTGGGTTTCTGCCAAAGCAAGGGGGTGCGAGCCGAACATATGAGAGAAGCCCTCCATGACAGTGACTTGTTCAGAGGCAACCATACCACCACTGAGCCTGTGGTCCTTCATAGGACAGCTCTTGGAAGCCATGTGGAAGCTAATAGAACTCTTGATCCTCTTACAGGGCTAAGTGGACAAGGCGGGTTACACATTTTCAAAATTGTGGTGAGATTCATCATCTTTTCTGAGCTAAGAATCTATTCAGTTCCTCTGGAGCATCCTTAACCTTGTTATTCCTTTCCCAGTGCATCTTCTGGGCAAGACACACCATGTCCCTCCTCAAGGACAGCAGAAGGGAGTGATGCTGATTCACCAAATTGCCAAAATGTGTTTCCTGAATGTTGAATTATGGGCAGACATTTATCTCTGTTTACCCTTCTGAAAGTCCTTGGCAAAAAAGACAGGATGTACCTCCAAAACACAGCACTCTCAAAACTGAAAGAACACTATTCTAACAACAACCTTGTCTCTCTGGGACTTAGCAGGCTCTGTGTTACTCATCATGGAACAGCTAAAGTCTTTTTCTAAATTTTATTGGTTACCATTTTGGTAAGAGTGAAATTGTTGAAATTCTGAGTGAGACATGTTTGTATATACAGGCAGCAGATGAAATTAACAAGATGAATTTAAGAGCACTTTGGTTTTAAAGTACAACACACTTTAGTCTGCCTTTCTCTGTCTTGAGTTGGGCTGTGGCAGGGGGATGGGGCAGAGCTGGAATTGCAGTGTTGAGTTCAAGTCCCATTCTGCCTCTGACTTCCTCTGGGATCTTGGTTAAGGGGCTTCACCTCCATGGAACTGAGGTTCTTCACCTGTAAAATGGGACAGTAACTACCCCCCTGGGTTCATTTGATAACACTTACAGAGAGTAACTAGCACAGGACTTAAAAGTGATAGGTTAAAAAAAATCCAGCCAACACTTATTAAGCATCTACTATATACTCTGGGCTGACGTGCTGTGCACTGGCCCACTCTGGGGTCACCATTCACATTTTAATCATTGGAGCTTTATGAATTATTAGGACAATTTTTTTTTAACCTGGCAGAAAATAAATTGTTTTGAGGAAGGTATACCTTTTAACAATTTACACAAAGGCACCATGTAAGCTAGCAAAGGCTGGGCCCATGGGCAGGACACAAATTACTAGGTAATGGGAAAAGACAACATAGAAATGCAAAAATCTCACCGGTTGATTGTTGAGTCCTGAAAGAGCAGGAATCTGCAAGGTCAAGGAGGAAGGAAAAAGCATTCCTCACAGAATGAAAAGCTACTGAAACTCAGCAGTAGTGGTGATTTTGAAACATGTCCATAAATTCTTGGATATTCCTTCCTTTGAAAAGATGAGGTCTAGGGGCGCCTGGGTGGCTCAGTTGGTTAAGCGACTGCCTTTGGCTCAGGTCATGATCCTGGAGTCCCGGGATCGAGTCCCGCATTGGGCTCCCTGCTCGGCAGGGAGTCTGCTTCTCCCTCTGACCCTCTCCCCTCTCATGTGCTCTCTCTCTCTCTCATTCTCTTTCAAATAAATACAGAATCTTTAAAAAAAAAAAAAAAAAAGATGAGGTCTAACTCTCCTCTCCATGAGTGTGGGCTGTATTTAGTGATATGCTTTTAATGATCTGAACATGGCGGAGGTGTGCGACTTCAGTTGTTGGATCATAAAAGGCACGGTGTCTTCCTCATTGCTTTCTCTCTTGGGTTACTCCCTTTAGAGGAAGCCAGATGCCATGTTGTAAGGACTCTTGCCACCATCACATGGTTCATCTTGGAATTTTAGATTCTCCAGCCCCAGTCAAGCCTTCAGAGGATGCAGCCCCAACTGACATTTTGTGTGGAGCCTAATGAGATACCTTATGCCAGAACCATCTGACTAAACCACTCTGGGATTCCTGACCCACAGAAAGGGAGGTAATAAATATTTATTGTTTTAAGTTGCTGAGCTTTGGGGAAATTTGTTTTGCAGCAATAGATCACTAACACAGTGGCAAAAAGCTCCCAATGGAAACTTCCTCTGCTTGGGGCCTAGGGGCCTGGGGACACAGAAAATGGGGTCTGAAAGGTAAATGCCCAATATTCTCTGATAAGAAGTTAGGATTTATGCTTTCAGCAACATATTCAAGCTAGAGGATGTTTTTACATAGAGGAGTGACATGATCAGCATTATGATATCTTTGGCATGAAATAGGATGGGAAAGGAGATTGGTTGGGGGCTGAGGAGCCTCCAGTTAGGAGGTTACAGGAACAATAGTTCAGGTATGAAGATGAAAGCCTGAATTAAGACAATGGCAGAGGGGGTGGATATTGGGAGGACTGCCTTAAAATTTGGTTTTCAGAAACAACCAGTATTTAGGGCCATCCTGTGAAATCATGCTTCACTCCACATTGTGTCCGGGGACAAGTATGCTGAACTACATGACAACTGTATTCCTACCAACATGATCATTATCATCACACACACACACACACACACACACGTGTGCATGCACACACAAGATACTTTTCATGCACTAACAGAATCAGCACTTTGTAAAAAGGACTTCACAATTAGGAAATGTCTCATTCGTAGGATTTAATATTAAGCCCTTGAAACGGTCCTTTATAGAAACTCTAATTTCAAGAACAAAAAAGAAAATAATGAGCTCCGCCCTTCCATAAAGGGAACCAAAAGGCTCACATTTATCCATTGTACAAATAAGGCCACGGAGGATTAGACTGAATTATGGTGGGACACAGATTAAACATGGTTTTGAAATGCTGGAAGCTTCAACAGAATCCATGACTAAAACAGCATTGACAGTGATATTAAATTAGCTAAGAAGTGCTCGCCTCCCAAAAAAAACTGGTGTCCTTAGAAAAATAGCATCTATTTTTGGTATTTCAATAGCTCTAGAAAGAGATGGATATATAAATGCTAAGCCATGAATACTTCAAATGGCCACATTTCTGCCCTAATGGTGAGGGAAGAATATATATATGTATATGTATATATGTGTATGTGTGTGTATATATATATATACACTTATTTTGAATTAAATGAAAGAAACCTATTTTCATTCTATAATCTTGCATGCACTGTGTCATCACCACTGAAAGCTACATTTCCAAATGTTTTTTCTGGGAAGTAGAGTTCTAGTGGAACTGATAATTAATCAGAGAACCAGAAAGAATTCCCACACCAGCAGAGAGAGGGTCAAGGAACCACATTTGATTTCCAGAAGGAAAAAGTTACAAACAGTAATAGGTGGGAATCTTTATCATTTCTGCATCTGAAAAATGCTTTTTAAACAATGTTTTCTTTTACATTTACACAGTATATGGAACTTTTGAAGCAATGTTAATCTTCAAATGACTTGATTCACTAGATACTTGAATACTCAGCATCCTAATAAGAGGAGATAAGATCTGTCCACTAAGAGGAATGCTGTTTCTCTTTAAGGTGAGCATCTATGTTCCTTGAGGCAGAGACTGTGTGTCGTTGACCACAGCAGTCCTGTGCCTACTGTCAGGCCCAAAAAGGGGGCCACTCACCAAATGACCTGTTGAAAGAGGAGTGAACGAACGAATGAGTGGACAAATGTATGAACACGTGTAATGCTAATGATGTTGGGCTTGTACAAATAACATTCAAAGGCAGGTCTCCGCTGTAAGAACTCATAAATATTTACAACTGAAGGTCTTGCGGAAGATGTGAAAAAGTCTTATGTTTTAAGAAAAGGTAAAAATACCGCAAGTGTGAACTAAGTAAAGACGAAGCAGCATATTTTAGGAACCTTGACAAAACTATTTTAGCAAAAGCATACTGCTATCGCTGTTCAGAATAACTGATATGGCGAAAGTCACTTAATGAAAACATGTTCCTTTGAGGCTACCAAAAATCTGCTTCTGGCTCACAGTCCAAAGTTAAACTTTTTGTGGCGTGCAAAGAAAAGGACAAAGAGAAACCACCACCATTAGTGCCTGCACCAGAGCTATTTATTAGCGTAACTTTTTCTTTTTTCTTAAAGATTTCGTAACAACTGAAGTATGTACAAAGTCTTACAGCATTTACACCATAAAAAGTTCCCCATTAGCTGATGAAGTCTAAGGTAGTGCGGCTGAGAACTTCAGAGCATGAGTACGGAGCAATGAAGCAGACCGCTACACGTTTTTACCTCTCGGCTACCACACACCACCGTCAGCTGGTCCACAGCTAACGACGCACCTGCAAGACAGGTTACTGGGGAAAACGGGAACGAGTCGATATGCAGCACTAGAGACCAAAGGGTGGAAAAGCATCATGTTTCTACAGTTTCCTAGAGCTGTAACAAAGGTCCACAGCCTGAAAGAATAACATATGCAAGACAACACGATCGCACTGCTCAGATATGGTTCGGCTACGAAAGGTATTCGCTTTTGAATGGGAGGCTCTATACTGATATGGCTGGTATTTCCATTTGTGTTCATGTCTTCGGATAGCTCACGCCCGCACAAGCCCCACCCGCCTCTCCCAAATAAATCAACAACACAGGGAGGGAAGGAGAGAGGGAAGAGTCAGCATAGAATTAGTTCTTGATCAAAAAGACAAACAACTTTTTTTTCTTTTTTTAAGACATTTAGTATCAGCTTTAGGATGGCCATTCCCGTCAAAAGATTAATAGTAGAAATTTCGGAATCAACCCAAATCAGAGAACAACATCAACAAAACCCCCAACCCCCAAACTCCTAGATTTAATCACCTTCATTGTTTCTGATTGTCTTTCCTTGGGGTATTACACAGAGCACCAACATTTACACACTTAATCGGACACAAAACGTAGCACTGTTGCCCCAACCATCACTTTAGTAAGTGGCAGGAGAATTCCAATATGCAAATGATTAATTTAACATCAGGCTCACCGCTTTCTTCCTCAGAAAACCCAGCGTGGTTCTCTATCTTAGGTCAGTCACTGTATCTGTTTGGTAGCAGATCCCACTGGTTTTTTCCCCATTGTTTCGGGCTCACATGTAGGCAAATTGGCTTTTTATTTCAAAAAGATTCTACTCTCAACTTAAAAGCCAGTTGATAAAACTTTTAATTAAGACACAAGAGCGCGGGATATAAAAACACAAGAACCACATAAATATTGAAGAAGTTGTATACCGTTTTTCGTGTAAACAGTTTTGCTTAAGATCGAAGCCCTAATCGGATTCTGGCCTGAAACTCTTGGCAGACGACGTTGTGTTCAGCCAGGCTCTGCAGCGATGGTTCACGTGGAAGCCAGGTCAGTCCCCATGTTGACAGGCATGCAACTTGGAAACATTGCACAACAAGCAACACAAAGAGAGTGGAGAAGCTCACAACACTTCAAGGAGACCTCACAACCTTCACTACTGCGGATGCACAGACAGAGACCCACCCCTCCCTCCTTTGCGCGCACTTTGTCTTACACGTGGGAGACCTTCTGTGACTCTCTAGCTTGTTTGATGCTATATAACCACTTGATGATCCTAGCATTTCTTTCGATGGCAGAAATGCCATATGGCACCCGGTCATTGGCACTGTCATCATTTCTAAGGTCACTGTTACTGTCCTGAGACTGTTCGCAGTCTGAGCTGATCATGCTTGCGCTGCGGAAGTTGAGGGAGATGATGTCGGAATTAGCCCTTGCAAAGTTTTCCATTCCAAGGTTTTCCAGCTCTTCGGGGTCCAGTCCGCAGTAGTTGAAGAACCTCTCCACGTCTGCGTCCACGCGGAAATACCTGTCACTCAAGTCCGACTTAGACCGCTGGAGCGAGGGTCTCCGGCTGACTCCGCAGGCTGGTTCCCCCGGGTCGGCTTCAGGGGACTTCACGGTGGCCATGGCCGCGACCTTGGGTTTGGGAGGCAGAGGAGGGGCGGAGCTACTGCAGGGGATCGCTTTTAGGGGCTTCACACTGGTCACTTTGCGGATGTCCGAGGAGCTGTGGGAGACATGGAGAAAGGACTCGGCCGACTGCTCCAGGAGCCTCCTGCCCACGTGGGAGCCGCCTTCCTGCGGGCTGCCGCGGCCCTGCGTGGGGTACACCTTCAGGGACTCGGCGAAGGAGTGCCGATGCAGGTCGGTGGAGTCTGGCCGGTGGGGCGGCCAGTTCCGGGAGCTGTGCTTGTGCCCCGAGCCCGAGCTGGAGCCTTCGGAGCTGTTGATGATGTTTTTCAGGATCTCGAGCTTCAGGTTCTCCCTCTGCACGCCACTCTCGGTCTTGGCGTGGCTGCCGAACACCCGGAGCGTGGGGCTGCCCAGGGCGCGCTTGGCGGCCGGGCACACGGGGGGCTTGGCCAGCACGGCCGGCTTCACGGGCTCCTGCTTGGCATTGATGACCTCCTGACTCTTGACATACTTGGCCTTGTCCGCTTCCAGCCTCTCCACGGCGCTGAGTCTTTTGGGGTTGGGCTCGGCCTGCCTGCGAAAGTAGTCGGGCCCTTTGTTGAGGATGCGCAGGGGGACCGCCGAGGTGAAGGTGCCCGCGGGGCTGACCGGCTTCACCATGCTACCTGTCTGTAGGGTCTCCGTGGGCATGGTGGGTGGTCTCTCCCCGGCAGCCGTGTTGGATTCTGGTCTGGGCGCCTCCGGATGCGCTGAATAGACACATGTACATGAAGCACAAAGGGCAGCGGACGGAGCCTGGAACCTGGGTGTCAGCAGCAGCAGCAGCGGCGCCTCATCTCACAGCTCATTAACTCGCACTGGGCCTCTAATTCACTTTCCCCCTTTCCAAAAGGCCACAAGCCACAAGTTCCTTTAATCTGCTTAGCTGCCTCCTTTCTTCCCCCCGAAGGATGTGGGAGTCTCCTCCAGGTCTTTGTGCTCAACTGCAGGCAGAGCTGAAACACACAACAACCAACCGCGGGTTAGGATGGGCGAGTGACATCACGGCTGTAGCAACAGAGAAAGCCCGCGGCGCCCCCGCCTCCGCCGGGCCGCCCGCCGCCCTCCGGCCCCGGGCCGCTTCTGGGCCGCGATTCCCGGGGTCCCGGAGCGCGGACCGCCCGCGCCCTGGCGCCCGCAGTCGGACGCGGGTGCTCGGGGGACGGAGAGGGGCTGAGCTTTCCCACGCGTGGGCTCTTGCAGCCACCTCCCCATTGGTGAGATCCGCCCCCTGATCACGCCCGGCTGGCATTCCTTGTATCAAACCCAGGAAATCCTGGCTGAATGTGGAAATGCGGGTTTGGCAGAGCCGCGTTCCCAGTTCACTGAACGGCCCTGGGTCCCTACGAATCCGGTATCTGCTTTAGGCTCCGACAGCGGTGAATTAGAATATGTCTCTTTCTCAGTGAAGCAAAACTTCTAATTTCTTACTACCCAACAATGTCTCTCTCGGTAAGATCTGAAACAGGCACTTCTTTAACTCTTCAAAAACTGAAAATGTTGGCAAGAAAGCGGATTGGCAGCAAAGATGAAAAAATTTTTTAAAAGCGTGTTTCAGTTATCTTAACTTTTGCCAGCCAATATATTTGAAAACACTTTCTCCTGAAAACTGAGACTATGTATAAAGTTCCTCCTGTTAACTACAAGCTTGTTTTTTTAATTCAACAAGAAAACTAGAAAAACCTCTAGATTAACCTTGTAACTAGATAATCTGAGTATAAATGCTCCATGATTTTTCACATTTAATGAGCAGAAATCAAAAGTTTCTCTGTGGTATGTATTTCCCCAAATCCCCTAGGGAACTAAGAATACAATCTCAAGAGGTCAATCATATCTAAATATGTTACTTTAGAGAAAATTGGTATAATAGTTAATTATTCATGGACTTATTATTCATGGCTTTCTGAACAATTTGACCACCCCCTCCCTCAACCAAAACCACTATAAGGAAACTTTATCAGTACTCCCAATATAAATCCACAGGCCATCTTTCTACTTAGTACACAATATATGTAGCATTTTTCTAAGGACAACTCCTCTCTCTGCCTGTTACTGCTGGCAGAGAACATTTTTGAAGGCATCAGGATCCCAAAGTAACTGGTTACAGACTTTTTCAGCATCTTTGGTTATAATTAGGAATATTAAGGGTAATGTATTCAACTAACATCAAATAACTAATTTATAAAATAGAGTGGTATTACTATAAAAGCATCTGCTCTCATAGTAAGAAAATGAAGTGTCTATTAAGAACAAGCTTGGAGGTGGGGGAAGGGAAGCCTGATTGTTCTCCTTTATCATCTTTTAAAAACTTAATCTCAGGGGCATCTGGGTGGCTCAGTCATTAAGCGTCTGCCTTCGGCTCAGGTCCCTGGGTCCTCGGATAGAGCCCCTCATCCATCGGGCTCCCTGCTCCGCGGGAAGCCTGCTTCTCCCTCTCCCACTCCCCACTTGTGTTCCCTCTCTCGCTGTGTCTCTCTCTGTCAAATAAATAAATAAAATCTTTAAAAAAAAACCACCTTAATCTCAAATACACCCATCACCATGTTTTGTTAAAAGACAATTTTGGCAATCTGCAAAAGCATTTGTTCTAATAAAAATATTTTCCGATGCGAGATTTGAGAAGCCCCAAGGCAATTCCTACATAATGACTTCCTTTAATTGTGCAGTTCTATTATGATACTTCAATTTAGTTGAAAAAGCCACCTCCTTCCCCCCTCTCATGAAGATTAAGTGAGACTGTTTCTTTGAACAAATTCTGAGTGAAATGGCGGAGGGGAGTAGCAAGTTCTCTGCGGAGCTTTCTGCATTTCTTCATCCACCACCCTGGGTCCACCTGACTGGGAAGGTGAACTGGGGACCCCTTCACTGAGAAGCTCAGAGCCAGAACAGGTAGCAGAGCCTGGGCTCAGAGGCAACCCCACTGGTTCTTTCCAGAGCGCTTGAGAGAGGGTTGCCCCACCCACTCCACTCCAGCTTCACATCTGGGGCTTCCAAATGTGTCCAGAGATGGGACAGTGGCAGTACATTTGGGGGCAGAGTGAAGGACAGGCCTGAGATTTGCGCCCATCAGCTTTGTGCTTAAGGACCAAAGCAAACCTCCCGCAAGGCAAGCAGGAAGGTGCCCAGTGGGTGGTAGGTGACAGAGCTCATACCCCTTTCTCCTGGGGCCTCCTCTCCTCACCTGCGATATGAAGTGCTTGGATGAGATTCCCCAGATCCTTTCTCCCTCTAAATCATGTGGTTCTGAGGAGCTAAGAATGAATGAACTATTTCCAATTTCAAAATGGCATCCGGGACTATTGGCCCGTGACTGCACCATGGTTCCTGCATTTACTGTTCTTAGGAAAATATCCTCTGAATGATGAGTTGTCCTGATCATCTAATGTGAACTGGCTTTATAGCCCACGGTGGCCTGCATGACTATCTTCCCTTCTAATTCGATCATACCAGGACCAGAAACCCAAATATCTACATTGCCACCAAACCGACTTTGCAGCATGCCCTGTCTGTGACGGCGGGTTCTGGATCCGTTGGAACCCTAAATAAGAATCATTACTCTTAACTCACAAGACTGACGGACACTGGTCTATTTATTTACCAGGGCGCACACCTCAGGAAGCTCACTTGGCCTGCTTTCACACTGTTTGATTTCTTCCCCAAAAAAAGGCGTGAAAATGGGTAAATGGAGGCAGATGCCCTCAGAAGGGCTCCTGTGGGCACACCCATTTGCTCCAAGCCATCTAACCTTGGGGAGCAGTTTCTAGAACAAAACCAATGTGAAAGGATTATGTGAGAAAGACAGTGATTGTAACCACTTTCCACTTCATTTCCTTTTTGTTCCGCCCCTCCCCTCTCTCCTCTGTCATTCCCAATTGCCCTAATAATTTTCAACACACTGATATTTACACATGACCGCGTTCGGAGTTTAAAAGTTTTAATTTGAACTCTTTGGAGAGGACAAGAAAAAGCATTTTCCCGGAAGAATCGAAAGCAGAAGACAATGCTGTAGGAACAGGTCGGGTGCTAGAGGGCCTGTTTTAGCCAACAAACTATACCAACTTCAGACAAAATGAAGGTGCCTTAGGCTGCTCCTTCTTCTAGTACTTCTATAATCCCTAACTTCTGTCCTTTTACTTTTCAATGCTTCAACAGTGTGGGCTGGGACAGAGATGTATATTCCCAGAGCTCTGTAGTGTAGACTTTGTTACGATGTGGGCCAAGTACAGTTGAAAAGACGAATCACATGGTAGGTGACACACCTGGAAACCTGGGGCTATGTCTTGACGTCATTAATGTGACAACCAGGAACTGTGCTCAGGGAGCACCACGGCACGTGACCCCCCCTCCTCCCCGCTGACGCATCCCCGTCACCGGTCCCTGACACCTGGGCAGATGCCTCAGGTGTGGCCAGGAGAGGCTGCTATTTCCTCATCTTGCTCCAGGAAAGGAAAATTAGCTCTCACCTGCATAGGACTGCACAAACCACAGTCGTCATACAGCCCTGCTTGATCCCTGACTTATGGCTAAGAAGAGGGAACAATAAGCTGGAGGGAGAGAGAAAGGTACACTCGCAAACTATTGGGCTACAACATTCGACCCCGTTGAATAACCATTCGAACATTTTGTGAAAGTCTAAAATGAACTGGAGAATAAAGCTTGGCAGAGTCGAGGTACAAAACGGTCCGCTGAACCAGGGCACACGTGAACTCCACCGCGATCTGGCCTGCCGCCTCCTTCCCAATGGAGAATTGGGGCTAGAGGGGTCACGCTATCTGTGTGGGAGCCCTGCTCTGGCCGGGGAGGGCTGAAGCGGCATACCAGCCAGGGACAGAGGGCCCAGAAACAAACGGTGACTCCCACTCACTTTGGCAGTGTTTCTCCAACTTGAATGTGCCCGCGACTCCCTGGGGATGTCCTTGAAACGCAGGGTTCTGAGGTAGGTTTGGGGTGGGGCCCGAGCTCCCGTGTTTCTCGCAGATCCCAGGTGATGCCCAGGAAGCCGGTCCAGCGAGCATCAGGTTAGAGCTGAAACACCTCTGGCACAGAGGAAAGCCAACCAGGCTTTCTTGTCTCGTAAATGAATAAAAGTCTAGGGCTCTGGGGGCACGGAAATAGCAACCAGAGAATTCAAAACTTGTAAAACCAAAGCGGCCTGAACCTACCTTCAAATCTGCCAGCTACTCACAGGGGCTGCTAGGTAAAGACTAGAACCGTGACATTGGGGAGACCCAGCGCGCTAGGACTAAGGGCATTTGCAACCCTGAAGGCAGTTAAGGAGAGAAAATGAGCCTCGAAACATATGCTTCATACGAAAAATGCTTAAAGGTAAAGTTCCTAGAATCCAGGTACCACGCGCCTCAACCTCTGAGGTCGGGCTGATCATGGGCAACTGCGGCCTCCAGCTAAGGGCTGCTATGGGGACTGCCGTTCACTGTGGAAGCAGCAAGTCCAGATCTCTGCAGAAACTCTCCCAATTTTAAAATTCAATTTGTGAAACGCTGTGGGCCAAGTGCTTCTGGTAAGTAAAAAGAAGGAGACAGTTAATGCCTAATTGGTCTTTAAATTTTAAGTAGGAAGAAAGCACTGCAGTTAGAGCAAGGACCCCGGGATTGAACACAGTCCTAGACCCACCCATCGAAGTTTCTTAAATATGGGAAGACTGGCCATTTCCCACATGCCTTACGGCCCAGAAAAGGTGGTAATACTGCTGTCAAGAGGGAGCCTAATTCAAATTCCAATCACCGAACATCTCAGCGTCGTGACCTTCTCTATGAAAATTGAATGTGTTGAATTCGGTGAGCTTGAAAACGTCTTCAGTTCAAACATTCTTGGAGGCAAATAACAAAAGAAGCAGTTTACCTTTGAGGTTAATAAGGGTTCTCGAAGAACACATCTTTCTAATTTCCTAACATGTCTGATCACAGAACACTGACAATATGTATACAATTGTGCCATGTCACTTTCTGACTTTTTTTGTAATAGTATTTATGCTACTGACTTTAAAGCATCAAACTCCAAACTTGCTGGGGGGTGGGGTCACTCTCACAGCTCTATTCTTGAATTTTCCCATTTCAGCACAGAGAAACATCTTTTTCAGTGAAGTAAAAATGCACAGTTTCACAGGACAGTGTTACCTTCTGAATTCCTTACAAATATAAGAGAAATGCACTCACAATATATGAGTGCTCACTGAATGATGGGCTGTGTTCAATCAGTGAGTACCCGTTGATGGAGCAATTAGGTGTCAGGTGTAAAGAAACAGGAAGTCATGACAATTTAGAAAAAAAGATTCAAAATGCATATGATGAATATGAATTGAATAATGCTCGTGACAAATGTGGCAGGCCTGTCCCAAAGGACTTCCCCACAAACCACTTCTCAGCAGTCAGATGAAGGGCAGTGAGGATCTGGAATAAAGGCACGGGAAGTGGGTCCATCCTCTCTTGAAGTGGCTGTCTACTGAGTTCATGGTACAATCCAGAAGCATCAAAGACAGCCAGTAGCTTGTGCGGAGTGCTAGGGGGACATCAGTCAGAGACCCACTGGGCGAGGTGGGGGCAGATGGACTCCAGATTTGAGGCAGAGTACGGGGAGCACACTGAAGGGGAATGAAGCATCAGTGACATGGTCAGATCCGTATTTTTAAGAAATCCCCCCGGCAGCAGAGGATGGGAAGCAGGAGAAGGGGGCCAGAGGGGCTGCAGAGAGGAGCCAGTCAGAACTGTCCAGAGGAAGGAGGCGGCGGCAGGGCTCGGAGCAACTGCCTTTGGGTCTGGATTTCTTAGTTTCTTCGAGCATCAGGTTAGAGCTGAAACACCTCTGGCACAGAGGAAAGCCAACCAGGCTTTCTTGTCTCGTAAATGAATAAAAGTCTGGGGCTCTGGGGGCACGGAAATAGCAAGCAGAGAATTCAGCCCCATAAAGGCTGAGTAGCCTTGGGCACGTTACTGTACCTGCCTGTGCCTTAAGTTTTCCATCTCCAAAATGGGAATAATAACAGTACCCACCTCTTTGCGGGATTTGAGAAGGTTCAATAAGGGCACAGACACTTTTCGTTCACATAACAATTATGAGGAGGGTGTCTCTGGGGATGGAGAGAAGCATGGATGATTTCAAGAGATGCTGACAAGGTACATTGGGCTGACCTTGGAGACGGACCAGGTGTGGAGGGCGAGGGGGTGTGTTGAGGATGACTCTGGGCTTCCGGTATGACCACTGAGAAGTGGTTTGTGGGGAAGTACACACTCTCTTCCATCACTCCCTCTTTTGCACGTCAGGCCTGAGCCAAACCCACCACAGCAGCCCCTGCAAACTAGCTGTGTGCACGCACACATCGGGCCTTACCCTGTGGCCAATGATTTTTGAACCAGCAGGGTGTCACAAAATTTGTCACCTCCTGAATACATATCGCACATAGTTAACAATACCATGGTTACCACAAAAAAATTATATTTAGAAGCAAAATGTATTCATAAATAATGCTTAATTCTGGGGGCTAAAGGAAGCAACACTATTCCACTTGGAAGACACCGATTTATCCATTTTAATGAATATGCCACGTTTTCAACATCTTTCCTTCTGAGTGCATACTCCTTTGTATTCATTTCTTTTATGCTGCAAAAATAATTTACAAACAATGCAAAAGTAGAGGAGCATATCGAAAGTGGAAAAGTAAATGGGGAAGTCGTGAAAGTATGTTTCCAAAAACGGACTGAATTTGCACTCTACTGATTGAACAGAAACTAAGAAATCAGAGGGCCAACCATCTGGAAGCATTAAGTCAAAACCACTGCCCTTTCAGGACCTGTACTTTTTCAATTACTTAATGACGTGCCTTGTTCTCTCTTTTATCGTCCGGTGAATCCTGCTCATCTATAATTCTGGCAGCTGAATCTTCTTTACTGACCTCAGCGTTGCCGTCAGCATCCGCTTCAAGCTGTAAGTGAAATAATCTGGCCAACCAGGCTATCACTTTGTATATTCTTGGAAGCCAGGGGCTTTTTCTTTTTTCTTTTTTTTTCTTTTTCGAAGATTTTTGTTTATTTATTAGAGAGAGAGAACACAAGCAAGGGGAGTAGGAGAGGGAGAAGCAGGCTCCCTGCTGAGCAGGGAGCCCGATGAGATGCGGGGCTTGATCCCTCATGACCTGAGCTGAAGGCAGACGCTTAACCAACTGAGTCACCCAGGCGCCCCCCAGGGGCTTTTCCTAATAACATTTCAACTTTTGATTCCAGTATCCTCATCATTTTTTCAGCTTATTTTTTCAGTTGGCTAGAGGTCTTCATATGTTATTTAGTAAGCAATCCTGGCCCTGGGTTTCCATTACTTTGTTTCAATTTTCCACATGTTGGGTAAACTACTTCCCCACTTTTTCTTTAAGCCCTGTTTCTCCTGAAACGTCCATTCTACACAACTGCAGGATAGAAACAGATGTTGGAATGAGTGCACAGATGTGGGAGAGGCCAACTCTTAGCTTCTAACGACTTCCTAGATATGGACCAAGAAGTGATATCTATCTCACTGGCTCTAGTATAATGTGCTGGGATACACCAGTGGGGCAGCACGAAACTTGCGGCCTTTTGATAAATGTGCGAAAATTATTCTGACAACCCAGGAGGCACTGTGTTATGGGAATATCCTCCAGGTGGCGCTGTGAGCCGAGCAAGTACGGGGAGCGGGGGGAAGAGGGGAGGGCCTGCAATTTGTTACCCACAGTGTTTCTTCCTGTCCGGTGGGCAAACAAAGATGGGAATGGGAGACAACTTTGCCTCAGGAAAACAGTAGCAAGGGCAGTCTCAAGGTCTCTGCTCAGGGCTGTGATGTAGGACAGTGACTATGTATGTCTACCCTGGTCTCAGATAGGTGAGAGGAAGCTGTGTTTCCATGCGTACAGGGGTAGGAGTTTCCTAGGTCCACATATATACTTGGGAAAAGGTGGTCTGGGGTTATGGTAAAAGGAATTCCCCCACAGATTCACCCCCGAAGGAAGCCAGCAGCCCTGCACCGAGGGGAAGGCTGTGAGCACCCCCTAGCGGCGGGAGGGGGTGTGGCTGCCCCCAGGGAACCCAAAAGCCCCCAGAGAGAGCCAGCTCTTAAATCCCCCATGCCCAGGGCCAAGGAGAGGAATCTTGTCATCCTTCCTTTAGCACTCTGCCTACCCTGCATATTCGCACACCCTCACAGGACCTACTACCGGGAGACGTCCGAAGCGACACCTAATAATGAGTGGCAAAGGAGCTGGAGCAAGGAAGGAGGGGAAAAAACCCACGATGTTTATTAAGTCTCCTCCTCCACAGCAAATCCTCCTCCTCCCCTTCCAAGCCAACACAGGCCTGAGCTGGAAGAGGGAGAAGCTCATTTAAACCAGATGAGAGGTTGGAGTTTGGGTCGTGACAAACGCTGGACTGGGCTCTTTCATCCTGAAACTGATCTGAGAACTTTCAATTATTTAAGACTAACTGAAGAGGCGATGGGTCCCATCTGAGATTTCATCCCAGCGATGGAAAGGAGAACTCGGCCAGATGAGTTCTCAGGGCACGGGAAAAAGAGTACACACACTTCCTGTTTACCCCTCATGAATCCAGGGCAGAAAACAAAAGGGCTCCACATAATAGCCTTCAGGTTTTCTGTTTGCCCTTGGACTCGCTGCCCCTCAGTTCAGAGCCCGGGTTCCAGGGCCAAGGTCAACTGCACTTACTCCGCAGCTGGGCCACTTGCAGGTCTACGACTCCAGGAAGTTTACTCAAGCTCAGTGTACCTCAGTTTCCTCACCTATGGATAATGACTCCTTTACTTCCTAGGTCTGATGTGGGAATTCCGTGAGGTAATACACTGAAAAGTGCTCACGTGGAACTCGGCACCAAGTCTGCTCAGTAAATGTGAGCGGTTATTAAATTTCGTCCCCAGTGTCCACAACTTGGCATTGATAATCACCATCATTAGATTTCAAGCTTTACGGTAACTGAATGATCTTTTGTCTTAAAATGATTCCATTACTCTCAAGCGATAGTGTGTGTGTGTGTGTGTGTGTGTGCGCGCGCGCGCTATTTCTGTCAAAGTGGATGGACTGTGCAGTTTCTGTCTGAAAGGTCATTCGCATGACCCCATTTTTATTTGAGTTACAGAGAAAATATGTGGTTTCAAATTTCAAAGCAAACAGTTATGTGAGTGAACCAGGCTAGAGTAAATAATAAAGTCATTATTAAAAATGAAATCAAACCTAAAATTGGTAAGAGAAAAATAGCAAGTCAAATCTCAATCCATGATGGATTCTTTACTTTAATGTCATTCTCAAGGTCATTTAGAAAACATATTCACATGCTTCATTTTCAGTTTGAAGTCAATCCATTATTTAAAAATGTT